TTCATTCGGACTCATTTTGAAGATACAGCAGAACCCTTTCCTCATTCAAGTGCTGCGCACCATGATAGCTAAGTTTTGACTCAAGAAGGTCTAAGTGATTTATATCTGCTCAAGAATAATTTTGGACATTTTAGGCTATTGCTGCAGCAAGTGATATATGTAAAACTGAAAGATAATTCCAATGGGCTTGATCAGAATGCTGTTTGCCCCTTGTTTGTTTTGTGGTAGAGTAGGAATAGGAAATGGGGGTAAGAGAGAGGTGAGAGAAGCAGTAAGAGACCAAATAGGTAGGCAAATGCTGTGAAAATACTGCTCCTTAACCAAGCCACACATACTGTTGACATTTCCATCATTTTATTTATGTTTTTATTTTATTTTTGTCTTTTTGAGATAGCGTCTCGCTGTGCTCTTCAGGCTGGTCTTGAGCTCACTTTGTAGTCCAGGCTGGTCTCAAATTTGCAATGATCCTCCTGCCTCAGCCTCCGGAGTGCTGGGATTACAGGCATGCACCACCACATGTGGCTATCCATCATTTTAAAGTACCTTATCATAACATTTCTTTTTTTTTTTGTCTTTTTGAGACGGGGTCTCCCTCTGCAGTTCAGGCTGCCGTTGAGCTTACTTTGTAGCCCAGGTTGGTCTCAAACTCACAACAATCCTCCTGCCTCAGCCTCCCAAGTGCTGAGTTTACAGGCGTACGCCACCAGGCCTAGCTTATCATAACATTAAAAAAGAAAAAATGTTAAGAAAAAGTATCTTCATTTATCACTGGAATCTTTTGTGCTTTTGTAAAATATAAATAATGAAGACACTGACATTTTTGTGCTTGTGAAGCTAATAGATCATCTCCACAAAACAGGCAGCAATGAAGAACTGCAATGTATTATTGAAGGGAAGAGGTTCAAGCCAGTATTCACACTGCAGTCAGTGAAAGGCTACAGGGGCCAAAGCAGTGAGTTTCTGGAACAGGCCTGAAGGTGCTATGGGGGATTAGCAGGAACGGTCTCCTCCAGTGACTGGTTGCTCTTCAGGCTTTTCCAGATTTGTCAAGCATGTCTTCTCTATTTCTGTCCTGTGTGCTTTCCATTCCAGGCAAAGCTGCTGCTTCATGTGGGAAGAACTGCTTTTACGCTGGAGTCAATGAACATAACATTCAGCTCTTTGGGTTTTTTTGTTTTTTGTCTTTCTGAGACAGGGTCTCGCTATGCAGTTCAAGCTGGCCTTGAACTCGCTTTGTAGCCCAGGCTGGCCTGGAACTCGAAATGATCCTCCTGCCTCAGCCTCCCAAGTGCTAGGATCATAGGCGTGCACCACCACACCCAGCTACATTTGGTTCTTTGGCTTTCTTCTCTCCTTCCTCAATTGACACTTGCCTCTTACCAGCAAGTTTTATTTCCTTCTGGCATGGTGATAACAGCGCTTCCTCTGTTCTGATGTCATCAATCCATTTTGCAGTTTGCTGGAATGACTTAACATTTGTGATACTGTAAACTACTAGGGCTTCAGAAGAGTCACGGATGTAACTGGGAATGAGGCTATGGAAACATTCCTGACCGGCAGAATCCCACCGCTCCAGCCTTATTTCTCTGTCCTCTAAGTAGTCCTTTTTTTTTTTTTTTTTTTTTT